CGCCACCTTAGGTGTATGTGGCTGGCACCTTAGCCACTTGAGCCATAGGCGCCGAGCCAAAACACTAAATTTTTGACACTCATTTGGTTGAAAAAAATTTGCATTATATGTGGACCTGTGGACAATTCAAACTCATATTTTTCAAAGGTCAACTGTATTTTTAAAAATGTTATATTTCAGCCAGCATCTCTTTTTGTAATAGGGATATTTTTAGGTTATCTCATCTGTCACATTGTTGGAATTAGAAGTCCCTTCAAAGGTAATATGCATGGTTAGATTAACTCAACAGGAATTATTTTCTGGAATGACAAGCTCATTTGAGTGAATGCAACGCCCGTACCTCCTATCATGTTAGAAGCATCCTCTCCTGTGAGGAGTTTGAGTGGAGGGTGATCTACTGAGTACCATCCTGCTTTATTCCTGTGGCTCCATTCACCCTGATGATTTACTTGTTTCAGTCTGTGCCAGAACTGACCAAAGAGGCCTGTGTGATGATAAATGAACTAGAGACAAATGTGAATGCATCCAATACCAAGTGCCATTACAGAGGTTTAGTTTGTTCTGGCCAGCAGACCCCAGGACTAGTTGTTTAAGAATTCCTGGGGCAGGACATCCAACAAAGCCATGCCATTGCAGCCAGCAATGGAAACTGAAGGAAAGAGTGTCTGGTGATACCACAAACAGCTGTTTCCTGTGGTCCCAACAAGAAGACATACTCCCTGTTTGCTATGGTCTATTTCCTGAGAAGAGACAAAGACCTAGGAACCCTAATGATGTCCTTGGAGGGACAGCCAAGTAGGAAAAGAATCAGGACCCTCTACCAAAGGCCTCTATAAAGAGTCTCTGAGGGTGGTGCCTGTGACTCAGTGGGTAGGACCCGGCCCCATATACCGAGGGTGGTGGGTTCAAACCTGGCCCCAGCCAAACTGCAACAAAAAAATAGCTGGATGTTGTGGCAGGCACCTGTAGTCCCAGCTACTCGGGAGGCTGAGGCAAGAGAATTGCCTAAGCCCAGGAGTTGGAGGTTGCTGTGAGCTGTGTGATGCCACAGCACTCTACCAGAGCAATAAAGTAAGACTCTCTCTCTACCAAAAAAAAAAGTCTCTGAGAACTGTTTCAGGACCACTGTATATCAGTTAATGAAAGAGAAAAGGGGGTGGTAAAGGGATAGGAGAGAAGGCAGAGACCTCATGGAAATCCTTTTCTGTCTCTCTTCAACAAAACACTAATCCATCTGCTGATGGGCTGAAGAACAAAATTAGAGTCTTTGATTGGACAGACACCATCCAGTTCAACCTTCCCCTGGGTGCAAACTCCTTCTCTGATAGTCTATTGCTGTGGGGCTCTCACTATTAACTTCATTCCAAGACTTTGCTTATTTTAAGCCTCTTCTTGTTTTGAGATAACAATCTTTCAGGCATTTCCACTTTTTGGAAAAATATTTGCTCCTACTCATCCAGCCTACACTTGGGGACCACACAAGCCAAATCCTCTTGCTTTCCTTTCCACCTAGGCCTCTGTCGTGTTTCTCTTCCTCTTCAGATAAGAAGATCTGGCTCCTTCCATCTTTCCCCATATAAAGTAGTCCCAAAGCTGGACATCACCCACCAGATATGATTTGAATTTTTTCTCACAACTTCTCATGACAGGGCTACCAGGTGATCAGAACCTCCTCATCACTGTTGGCCCCACTCACAGCGTTATCAAGGGCTTGATAGGTTTCAGATGGAAGGAGCACTCAACAGACTAGCAAGCCAAGACCTTGACACACAAGAATAGAAGTGAGTGTGAGAGGAAAGATTCCAAGGAAGAGCTGAAACTTTTCACTTTCAGAGTGGAGAAACTTTTCACTTCAGAGTGGAGACTGAATTTTCAACCTAGGGGAATATGAGTCAGCCTGGAAGATCTCAGAGGGCTGGAGTTTGTTCTCTGAGCAAAATAGTGAACTTTCTTTCTCTTTGGTACCACCCCTGAGGGCAGGAGGCCCAGCCTGAGAACTTGACTAGAGGGCAGCGTCTTCTCTTCCCTGCACAATCCTGACAATGTGATCGCTGTTCCTGTCAAAGATAAATTGGCCACTTTCACTCATGCTTATCTGAAGCCTACACATTGAAAAACAGGTGAAGGAGAGACACCCTGACACCTCCCCCACATATGAGGTCTGACAATTAAGTTCACAAACTTGCTATTGAGTGCTTATATTAGCACCACTGTACAAACAACTTGGTAAGGTTTTTTTTTTTTCTGAGACAGAGTCTCATTTTGTCACCCCCAATAGAGTGCTATGGCATCATGGCTCATAGCAACCTCAAAGTCTTGGGCTCAAGCAATTCTCTTACCTCAGCCTCCTGAGTAGCTGGGACTACAGCACCCCCCACAACGCTCAACTATTTTTTAGAGATAGGGTCTTGTTCTAGCTCAGACCTGGTCTTGAACTCATCAGTTCAGGTGATCCACCCACCTCCACCTCCCAGAGTGCTAGGATTACAGGTGTGAGCCACCAGGCCCAGCCATTCAGTAAGGTTTCATAACCTAGTATATCAGTGTCTCACAGCAGTGTTCATATTGACGTGTGGTAGCATCTTGCTGATTGGTGTTCGTTATTCTTGGTTTTTTTTGAGATAGAGTCTCAAACTATCACCCTGGGTAGAGTACCATGGCATCATAGCTCACAGCAACCTCCAACTTGGGCTCAAGTGATTCTCTTGCTTCAGTTTTTCTATTTTTAGTAGAGATCGGGGTCTCACTTTTGCTCAGGCTGGTCTCAAACTCAGGAGCTCAAGCAATCCACCCACTTTAACCTCCCAGAGTGCTAGGATTACAAGTATGAGCCACCATGCCTGGCATCTATTGTGTTTTTATGACAGCTCTGATGGTCATTCCAGGAAAAGAGCTCCAAAAATGCTTTGAAGAGTGGACTTTATGCTGGCATCAGTACAAAGTTTCCTAAGAGGAGTACTTTGAAGTGACCATAGTGATATTCAGCAATGAGGTATGTAGCACTTTTTCAAGGACAGATTCATGAATTTGTCAGACCTCATACATACTAGATAGGGAAAGCTATGGTGTTCTAGGAACACAGAGGACATGTCATGTCTCCTAGAATGTCCCACTCATTCCCTGGCACATCAGCCCAGCTCTGCCTCATCCCTTCCTAGGGTCAGTGGCTAGACCTAATCCTTTCCCGATTGCCAAGGAAGTAGGACCTCCTCCTGCCTTCACTGGCTCAGAACACATAAAGGATGCTCTGAGGAAACTTAAGGTCTGAGGGAGCTGAGAGCAACAGGGCTTATCAGATCAAGCTCACCTCCAGATATCCATCTAAGAAAGGAAAGAGGTTAACTAGGGGGACAAAGGCCTGCCAGGAGGAGGCTGGCTGAGTTACATTTTGCTTTCCTATTTGAAACTCAATTCTGACCCCACCTGCACATAGGGAAGACTTTTTTTTTTTGAGACTGAGTCTTACTATGTCGTCCTCAGTAGAGTGCCGTGACGTCATAGCTAACAGCAACCTCACACTCTTGGGCTTAAGCAATTCTCTTGCCTCAGCCTCCCAAGTAGCTGGGGACTATAGGCACCCACCACAACACCTGGCTATCTTTTTGTTGTTGTTGTAGTTGTCATTTTTGTTTGGCAGACCAGGCTGGGTTTGAACCTTCCAGCTCCCGCTGATTATAGGTATGTGGCTGGCACCCTAGCTGCTGAATTACAGGCACCAAGTCCAGGGAAGACATTTTTTTTGGCCAGTGTTGGGTTTGAACCTGCCACCTCCAGCATATGGGGCTGGTGTTCTACTCCTTTGAGCCACAGGCGCCGTCCAGGGAAGACATTTTTTCAGACAAGAAATAAAACAAAGTTATTAGATGAGCTCTAAAGTCCAAACTAAAAAGTTATTTTATCCCATCCCTACATAAAAGATAGTGAATTAAAATCAAAAGTGTTTTGTGGAGATAAGCAAGGGTGTCCTTTGGAGGATGCTCCTCCTGGTAGGTAGACCATTATGTGTTCTCTGGGCTGGGTTCCAGCCTTGGAGCAGAGTGGCTAGAGCTCCAGGCAAGTGGCTTAGCAGTTCTGCTAGAGCAGGTTGGAGTTGTTGGTTTCATCCTTTAAGGAACTGGTGATGAGACGTTATTTTCTATGTGTCTGCTGGAGGCCAATCATGGTTTTCAAGTAATTGTGCTGGACACATAAAAGGAGAAAAAACAGGAATTGATTAACATCTGTGGGATTAACAGAGACATAGGAGCCAGGCCACTGACATTCACCCTATTATTCTTCCCATAAAAATCATAGTTTTGGGACACAGATTCCTTCTGACTAGCCCCAATTCTGTGAGAAATAACTTCTTTTTTAAAAAGAGTGTCATCCAGGCTGAAGGGCAATGGTATAATAGCTCACTGTAGCCTCACACTTCTGGCCTCAGGAGATCTTCCTGCTTTAGCCTCCTAAGTAGCTAGGACTACAGGCATATACCACCATACCCAGCCATTTAAAAAAATTTTTTTTTGTAGAGACAGGATCTTCCTGTGTTGCTTAGGCTGGTCTCGAACTCCTGGCCTCAAATGATCCTCCTGCCTTGGCATCCCAAACTGCTAAGATTATAGGTATGGGCCATTGCATGTAGCCCATAGAAGTAACATTTCATTCAAACCCTTTCAATCCCTCATCCTATAGAAAGTGTACAGAACTATTTGGGGGGGGGGGACAATCTCATTATGTCATCCTTGGTAGAATGCTGTGGTGTCATAGTTCAGAGGAGCCTCAAACTCTTAGGCTTAAGCAAATCTCTTGCCTCAGCCTCCCAAGTAGCTGAGACTACAGGTGTCCACCACAACACCTGCCTATTTTTAGAGATAGTGTCTCCCTCTTGCTCAGACTGGTTTTAAACCTGTTAGCTCAGGCAATCCACCCATCTTAGCCTCCCAGAGTGCTAGGATTACAACCGTGAGCCACCTTGCCTGGTCTTCTCTACTACTTCAATCAGATGTTCACAAATTCTTTTTTTTTTTTTTT